CGCTCTCCATTTGTAAATTTATTTTTCATTACATGTAATTGCTATTTTCAAAAACGGAATGACTTTTTTTTTTTGTCTGAGCAGTGAATCATAAATGGAAATGCAGTCCATTAAATTCTTCCAATAGTGTGCTACTCAAACAATATACATATCAAAATGTTTTTATATAACTTGCAATGTTTATATGTGGGCATGTCTAGTATCTCTACAATCTCCTGTATTATGTGACGTGGATTATTTTCGATCAGCATTTGGATTTGGTCATTATCAACAACTCCAAGCTGACCAGAACTTTTTTGGTCTCCCAGATCAGAATATTCATTTCTGAACCTAACAAACTACTTCTGAACAGTTTTTTCAACTATAGCACCATCTCCATAAATGGCACAAATTGTTTTTGCTGTTTGTATACAGTTTGTACACGGAGATAATGCCTCATTTTATTCACAATCCATATTTGATGTACAGAAAGACATTAAAATATATTCCCCCCCCCCAATGTAATGGTTATATCAGTGGTTTCTTAGTTTGGCACAAGTTCACAATACTGGGGCAACAAGTTTTAACCAAAATCCCTTTGATAATGGAAGATGTATGCAGAATGAGCTTGAAAAATTATCACTGTGTGAAAGTGAGTGAAAAAAAGTGTAATGTATTGTACTATTTTCATATATTTGGAGTAAATGAGGAACCATTGGTATTAATGGATGTAAAAACTATTAAAGTTTTGTCCATTAGTTTTGACTCTAAGCTTATGATTTAGATCTCACACCTACAAAAATGTCCTAATCAACGATAATTCTCAGTGGTTGCAACTATTTTAAATAACTTTAAATTTTGGTGCTTAAAGACCAAACCTCCTGAATCTTTTAAATTCATTGTTTCAAACCTTCATATTAAAGTTTGTCAAATTTTATCAACACTTTGTTTTCAATAATTAATTTCTTGTAAGGCTTTACATGTTTGTATGACTTTTATTTTTCAAGCTTACTTGTCTGACAAGTTTTATCTGCCATAAAAAAAAATATATTTGCTGTATATTTGGGCAGTAATCCTTCTTTTATAAATAATTTGTTAAAAATGATGGACAAAGAATATCTTGTGAGTTTTTATTTCATTTTTCTTGTGTTCTTAGAATTTTTTTTTTGTTAGTAATGTACTTCACATGATATACAAAACAAAATGTATTATTAATCCTTTTTTTCCACAGAAAAATCCGCCCCACTGTTCCTCAGCCCTGAAAATGCCTAAAGTATTGCTTGAGAAAAGCAATGCTATAATTTCTCCACGCACTTGGTTCTTTAAAATAATCGTAAGAACACAAGAAAAATTCAATTAAAAAAAATTAAAAAGTCACACAATATTCTTTGTTTGAATTTCAGGAATACTCAATGTTTACAATATTTATATTTGGACTATTGTCCTCATCTTCATTGTTTTTTTATCCCAATGTTTCATCTGTGGTGCCCTCTGTCCTTTCTTAGATGTATATATCAATCTGGGTCATATACAGGGAATTCTGAACTGAAACCTTTATTTAATCTACAGAATGTTCTCATCTAGTGGATTAAAGCATTGGTTTGTGAATTTGGTGACATTGGGAGTTGAATCCCTGGGGGGGGTGCAGGCTGTCTGAACTTTGATTTGGTGGAAATGGCTGAGAAGTACTGGATAAAAGGAAAAAAGAACCAGACAATATTCTAAGACCTGAGCAGTGGAATGAGAACAGTAGACTTTCTATAGATTAAATAAAGAATTCAATTCAGAATTCCCTGCAGGTTACCCAGATTGAGCTACACTCTGAAGAAAGCCAGAAGGAACAATGACTGAAACATTGTGAAAACCATGACAACAGTCCGAATATAAATGGTCTGCATAGGATATCCTTTGCCTGTCATTTTTAGTTTTCTCTCATGTAGATTTAATTTTTTATAATGGGGTAGGTAAGTTGGGTGTTGACATATTATTTTCCCTTTTGTTATTTGTTGACAGTAATGGGGTTGATATTAATGACAGAAATTAAATGGCATAAACATACAATAGCAACAATAAAATGTTGATGTGTTGACATAAATAGCAAGAATTTGTATTTTCTTTTTGTGATGTGAATTACAGAATATTGGTACAGTGTCTGTAAAAATGTTCTCGGTGTCTTTTTGTTTAAAAGTCAGTGCTTACTTGGTTTGGTTCTCTGAATTTTGTTTCTGAGGATGGCATTTGAAAGTGTCTGTTTTTGATCTTCCTGGAGTGCTGGCAGATGTGTGTTCCTGTACTGCTACTTGTCTACTGACTCCACTATGGGTACCCTAGTCTACACTACACTACTCTCTTGTGGTGGAAGGGTTGTTTTTTTATAATGACTGTAGGATGAAATATCCTTCTTTTCTACCATCACTTATGACAGTTATTTTAGAATGATGAAATATCATTCTGGACCATGACATTTTGTTTCTTTTGTTGTTACCTAAAATAAAAATATCGTTTACATACCTGATATGAATTTTGGGTTTTTTGTTAGTTTTTGAAAACAGTTTTTAAAGACAAATTTTGTCAGGTATGCAGACAGTGTTTTCACTTTAGCTAACAGAAATAGTGTTTTTAAAAACAATGAAAAACTGTTTTAAAATTAACGAACTTCACAAAAACAAAAAAATTCTATTCCTTGACATTATTGTAGAATGTAATAATACTATTACCACTTCACTATACAAAAATCCACACATAAAAACTCCTGATATCTTGATAATAAAAGCTAATGCCCATTTAAATTAGCAATAATAAGAATTTCTTAATAAGAGTGCATCTGATTTCATCTTTGCACAAGCTATTCCTTAAAGAACTTAGTAACATAAAACAAACACCAGTTAACAATGACTTTCCAAAATATATTATAGACAACTGAATAAAATTCTTTCAAAATTAACAATAGTTCATCAGAGATAATAGCAATATCAATTTTATTGCAACCCACAAAACACAAAGATTGGAAACAGGATTAATTCACTTCAAGAAATATAAAAACAATGCACTATTCTTGTTGACGAAACTAAAAATATCAAATTAATTATCTACTATAAAGAATTAAAATCATCTAACCTTTTTAGACATGCATAACATCCCACTGACAAAATCAAAACTATACCAGACCAACATTCATGAATTTAGATGCTCCATAAGGAAATATATTTCTGATGGAAACAAATCCATCAATAATCATGTTGGACACCGTCACCTGCCTGTTAAGACAAGAGATGTTACATCACCCTGATTTGTGCTAAATATGGACATATATAAACCAACATGGAATTGTACCAAACATAATATGCAACATAATTCTCAAGAACAAAATTGTGATACAAACCTCCCATTTCAAAAAGTGTTTAAAAGTTAAGGAAGTTCTTCTTATAAAAACAAGAAAGCAAGCCATAATAACCTCGATTGTGGACATAGCCACAAAATAATGTCTCATTTTTTTGGAAGCTTTGTCTACAACTTAGTCTACAATTATACATCATTTATTATTGTAGTATAACAAATAATCTTTAAAAATGGCTTTTTGTTTAACTAAAATACCTGCAATCAAACATTTGGACAATGTCCAGAAAAAGACATTTTTTCTGTATATAAAAGAAACGTAATAAAAAAAAAACAAAAAAAATTGTAAAGTACCTTGTCAGTTTTGTTCAACAAAACATATATTAAAGTGGGATTTGTGCCCAAATCCACAACTAGACACACACACACACACACACACACACACACACACATATATACGTGTGTGCATGTAGGATGTATAGTAGTATCTGAAATAAGTGGAGATGACATGGGAAAGCTTATAAACAATACATTTCATTGATGTCTGTTGGCCTTGGCTTCTTCAGGTTGGAATGAAAGACAAAACTGTATGTAATAAAAATGCATCAGGATTTTTGAGGATAAGAGACAATAAATTAAGTTACCTTATCAGATCTGACAACCAGAAAGTTCATGTATGTTTTTATATATATGAGAGAATAATTAGGGAAAAAACTTAAAAATCCATAGTTGGTAATAAATTTATTTTGATATATATAATGATAATCCGTGTGGAATTTCCAGGAGGATATAAATCCAGGGAGAATTCTGCCAAAAGACAGAAAATTATTATTAATTAAATAATTGATATTCTTTAAATGTTAATATACTTTCCTAATTATTCTTATAATTTGCTCTGTACCATACATCGAGTTCTCGTATAGACTGCTGAAAAGTCCTCTTTGGAATAATCCATACCAATTTGGCATTTATTTATTTTAGAGCTGTTGGATTTTAAATCGGCCTACTCCAAGTAGATTTGTTGTTGTTTTTTTTTTTTTTTTTTTTTTTTTTTTGTATTAGCTCATGTAGTGCATTGTGCTATTATTGCTTTTGCAGTGATTGGTGATATTATGTAAGGTCCTGATGTTTGAGAATTGGAAGATCAGTGCACTTTCAATGAATTTTCTTTTTGGTGAATCTTTTCTCTCCTGTGCATATACAATGTGTGGTTTTGTATAAATACACAATAACTAATAAGACCAAAATTTTACCATCTCTAAAAATAGATGTATACTTAAAATCACTAGGCAAACAGTCATAGTTTAGCCAATCAATCACAACCAGAATATAAGGCCACAAGCCAATGAGAAGCAGAGCACTATTTTCAAAGCAAATCTATAGATGTGTATGATGGAAAATCAACCAAAGCCAGGATTGATAAATTTTGTCTTTTTTTTTCATTGCTGTGATCATTGTAACATACCCATAAACAAAATGACATTTTCATAGCTTGCCAGCCTTAAAATATTTTTTGAATATATTGAATCATGTTTTGCTTTTTGTTTTTGTTTTTCTGCTGGCCGTACAAGAAATTGGAGTAATATTTTGATATTTTTTTAAATATTAAAATCTGTTTTTGCTCAGAATTAAAATTTAAAAAAAATTTACATTAATCTGAACTAATTTTCTTTTCTTTTTCATAGTGAAAATGTTGGAACACAAACCAGCCAAGGTATTCTGCATTGTGGGCACCTTAATTGTGTTCATTGTCACTGTAGCTTTAAATGCCCTGTCTAGCCAACCAGACTACAGTTCAGGTGAGTTGATCCACTGCCTACTTAGCTGCTTTATTTTTTTATTTTTTATTTTTTTTATTTTTTTTTTTTTTTTGCCTCTTCTGATATTTTTTTTCACTTTATTGGCTTTTTGCTTACCTTTCCTTAATTCTTGCTTAACTCACTGCCTTTTCCAAAACACCTAAGTACCCTGTGTGAGAATTACAATTGCCTTTTGAAGGTGGTAACTCTATCTTATTTACTATAGCAGTTACAGTATTTAATTGGTGGGGGGTCATTTTCTTTGGAAATACCAAGTTTGTGATATGTTCAGGATTTTATGTAAAGATCAAATCAGTGTGAGCAGAAAATGTACTAGATTTCCGAGTGTTAAAGTCGCTATTAACTCATTTATTCAATACTTGTGTACCTGTTGGTTTGTTGATGGCAAGACAATCAAATTGAAATTTTGTCTATTTAAACTGCTACATTTATTAGAAAATATATTCAGTTTAAATACAGAATATAAAAAAGTCTTCAAAAAGTTTATTGGGAGACAAAAATTAGTTCTCGAGACACAAATGTGTAATTTTAATTTAACTGTAAACCTAATGTATTATTCCAATTCAGTCGGTCAATTGTGTGTGTGTGTGTGTGTGTGCGCGCGCGTGCATATTAAATGAGACAAGCCTGTGCAAGTCACTTAAGCACAACACTGAGACAATAACTCCAAAATAAAATTTACCAAGTGAGTTAACTCCCATTCTCAGTTATTTTGCAGTACATCCAGTAGACTGTTTTTTTTTTTTTTTTTGTTTTTCAAAAGTTATTCATCAAAAATGTTAGGATTAGCTATGGTTCCACCAGTAATATGGCAAACCTGATATCTAACTCTAACAACAAGGTACTGGCTAAAAATAACAGTGAGCTGGTAAATGGATTAAATGAATGTAATTGCTAGTTATAGAGTCAATGCTTACTTGAAGGCAACTGCTTGGCTGAAAATGTGGTCTATAAGGTTACTATAACAAGTAAAAATGGCACTAAATATTATATTGGAGCTGCTGAAGGTAAGTGGAAAAACAGATATTATAACCATTGGATGAGTTTGAGTAATGAAAAGTACAAAAGTCCATAACATTCTCAGCTCACTATTGGAGGTTAAAAGAAATGGTGACAACTAAGTAGGAAATTGTAAATATTACAAAAGCCTATGTCAGTAAGGGTAGAAGATGCAACCAGTGCCTCATTCTAAAAAAAAAAAAAAAAAAAAAAAAGGATGAATACTACAGCAATTGGGTGATGAAAAGATGTTAAACAGAAAGAGTTGATGTCTTGTCATAGACACAGGAACAAGTTCCATGTGGAAAACATAATTATGTGATGAACAGCGAGTTTATACAAAGATGGCAACTGCCACAACAATGACTCGAGGCATCACCATTGTATAGCCAAATATGAAAAAGCATCTGCTTGTGGCATGCTTTGACCATTTTTTTTTCTCCTTCCACATCCACTATATAAATCTCACTTTAATTGATTTTTTATCATCTGTTGACTTCTAACAAATTTGTATACGGTTCCTGCCTGATGATTGCAAAAATTGCATAAAACTGTTAGTAGGGGAGGGGGAGTATGTACGCTAAAAAGATTTATATTAAATATATACCAGATATACTAAAGTATAGTGAAAGTTTTTATGATCAGTTTTTAATTAACAGGTTAAAAATCACATTTTTCGTGACCAGTTGCACTGTACACAGGTAATTTTTGCAAAACATTCAAGGGGGTCATGCTATACACAAAATCAACTTCTAAATGTGTATATACAGTTGTTAAAAAAGTGACATGAATTTGAAAGCATGAAAAAGTATCTTTTATTGGGAATATGCACACAGTGCAATCTTTAAAAAAACAAAAAAAAATCATTTTCAAAACCATTTTATTAAATACCAACTGTGTGAGATTTTCTAATTTCTTTTCTAAAATGAAAAATCACCTTTGGAAAAGGCACAAATCTGGTTGTGAGCTAAATTCTCCCAATGATAGACTTTAAAACTTTTCAATTTATTCATTCATTTATTCTACCAAGATTTCAAATAGTCTGCTCTTTCAATAATTCCAAGATTTCAAATAGTTTCATTGTCTTTTTAAATTTTTTTTTTTTTTTTTTGGTAAAAGAGTTGGCATTATTTTATTTTAATTGGCATGGGTCTTATATGCCAAAAATATTCTCATAGAAAGCATTAACTATTATTGAACTTATTTAGTTCTTACTCTGATACTTGCTTGATATATAGCCTCAGAACTTTCAAGACTTACAAAAATAGAAATATGAAGGACATATTTGGTGCTTATTAAACTCTGACAATGGTAAATGGATTCTAACCATCAGAAAAAAGAAAAACATTTAGTATTTACTGTAGAAGTTTAATATAAATCCTTAAAGATTTCCTTACTTCCTGTAATTCCTTATATAAAATAATATCTGTTCTTGTTCTGTCAGTTACATATCATCCTTACTACAAAATGGTTACATGTGTGCTCACTCATGAAGTAAAGTTCTGGATTTCAGTATTTTGAAAGACATTGAAACTTTTATTTTTTGTTCAGTATTATTTGGTGACAGACTTCTTGTGCTATTGTAGTAGCAGAATTAACTGCATTAGTCGTACACACTAGACCAGGGACAGCTGTCGACAGGTTAAATCCATCTTGTTTTACTATATTCAGCTTGCTGATTGACCATACAGTATATGCTAAAATTCTTTAAAAAATAATTTTTTCCTTAACATTATTATATTGAAAATAAATGCCTTTTGCTTACCTAATATATATCTATGTAATACCTTTTGTATATCATTACATTTAAAGTTTACTACTGATATGGGAGCATTGCATGTATTTTATGTTCAACTGGACTGAATAATAAGTGAATGAGCAAATGACCTCCAACAATGGCTGGTGTGTCAGTTTTGGGGAATGAGATCCAGGATGACATAGGTATGTGCAACAATGAGAATAATCACAACCGACAGAATTAAAAAAAAAAAAAAAAAAAAATTTTAAGCATCCAAAAGAAGTAGGAAACCTTCTGATTGGTTAGATATTGAGATTGTAGTTATTTGAAATTTTTATTAACTAATTTAATGCATTTGTAAATAAACATAAATATAGGTAACTGTAGTGAACGAGATAATCAAGTACCCCGGAAAAAAAGTTTGTGTTTTGTGTGCGATCTGCCGGAGAGGGATTGCCAAAAAGTAGTCAGCAAAACTCTTATAGCGACTTACCTCGTCAACCCAAGTGACAGCGCGTCGCGTGTATTCTGTGACGGAAAAAAGAAACAAGTCCGTCGCAGGAGTCTCTATAAGAGGATATTAATATGCAAATTACGGAGCATCCTATCCCACCTGTCGACGAATGGAAAAAAAATAGGTTCTGCCGATAAAAGCAGTTGGTGTTGTCGACTCGGGAAGAAAAATTCGGGCAGTTTTGGCTACGGCGTTCGTGTGTTATTTTCCTGACACGTTACAAGTGATTTTCTTTCTTTGTGTTGTGAAAGCCACAAATTTGCTTTGAGAACGCTTACTCTTCAGTAACAATTATAGTATATACAAAAATATAAATACTAAACAACCCAACAATATTGGTGTGACTAACAGACAACTTGCCAGATGACCTAATACTTTAAACAAGAAAAAACAATCCTGAACAAAGGACAAAAAAATCTAAAAGGCAAACACCTACCTACACATTAAATTGAAATGCTTAACACCTTAACTATATCTAGGCAAAGCAAAAAAAAAAAACTTCATAACATCAACTCTCAACAACAGCTAGAGTTGCTACTCAAGTTTCATGCTCTCATGACCTTCAGGTGACTAGAATGACATTCATTTTATTTATTATATATATATATATATATATATATATATATATATATATATATATATATATATAGGAAATAAAAGTAATTTAAAAGCAGGTCATCAAGTGTAGATTCAGAAAATAGTCTTTTTTTTTTTTTTTTTTTTACTTTTTTTTTTTTTGATATTTGATACTGGAATGTTAAAATACTTGTAAGACTGTTTCATAATTTTCATTTCTGTTAATCTGCAGTTGTCTTATCTTGTAGCATAAATTAGTTTTGTTGGAAGAGGATTAAATTCTCAACAAAACTGCTAAAAGGACTATTTTATTCTTAATAGAAAATATTATTTAGTATCATTTGAAATATATAGTCTTAAAGTATGCTATATTTGTGGGTTAAAAGTGCTCAATATCGGGCATCGTGTATGTATGACCAGGTGATTGTATTTAAACTGAAACAAACTCTCACCTCTGGGTGTTGAGTTCAATGCCCACTTATATATATATATATATATATATATATATATATATATATATATATATATATATACTTATTAGAGAGCGCTCAATGATAGAAACTAACATATTTGGTTGGATTGATGTGAGTTTGTGACCCTGGGTTTCACACTTTTGCGATCGTCAGATATATGAAGAAATATACTCTTAAGGTGTGCTATATTTATGGAATAAAGTGCTCAATATCAGAGATAGAGCGTGTGAATATAAAAGTGAACATTGAAGTCAACACTTAGAGGCGACAGGCTGGGACAATTGCATCTAGCATGAAACTGCCTATCACCTAAGTGTTGACTTCAATGTTCACTAATATATATAATGTATCAATTGATCAATCAACTGGTAAATATTTTGGGGAAATGACCCAAACTGAAAATATTTTGGGGATTTCCAAAATAAGGATCAAAGTAAAACCAATGAGATTCTTTTTTTTTTTTTTTTTTTTTTTTTTTTTTTTTTTATCTTAGAAGTCCCCACCTCCCACCTGGGTTATTTCCCAGTTGCTGCCTCATAAGACACCTGATTACAATTTTCAATTAGTCACTGTATAGTACTGTCTCATTAGCAATTCATTTATATCAAATGACTCTCATAAACCAGTTCAATTTTGTTGAAAGAAACTTGTTTGCATATTTGTAAGAAATCTAATGTAG